CTGTGTGTCTCTCTGTGTGTGTCTCTTTGTGTGCTCTCTCTCTCTGTGTGTCTCTCTCCATGTGTGTCTCTCTCTCTCTCTGTGTATCTCTCTCTATGTGTGTGTCTCTCTGTGTGTCTCTGTGTCTCTCTCTCTGTGTGTCTCTCTCCATGTGTGTCTCTGTTTGTGTGTCTCTCTCTCTGTGTGTCTCTCTCTCCATGTGTGTCTCTGTTTGTGTGTCTCTCTCTGTGTGTCTCTCTCCATGTGTGTCTCTGTTTGCGTGTGTCTCTCTCTGTGTGTCTCTCTCCATGTGTGTCTCTGTTTGTGTGTCTCTCTCTCTGTGTGTCTCTCTCTCCATGTGTGTCTCTCTGTTTGTATCTCTCTCTCTCTCTGTGTCTCTGTTTGCGTGTGTCTCTCTCTGTGTGTCTCTCTCCATGTGTGTCTCTGTTTGTGTGTCTCTCTCTGTGTGTCTCTCTCTCCATGTGTCTCTCTGTGTGTGTCTCTTTGTGTGTCTCTCTCTGTGTGTGTGTCTCTCTCTCTCTCTCTCTGTCTCTCTCTGTGTGTCTCTCTCTCTGTGTGTCTCTCTGTGTGTCTCTGTGTCTCTCTCTCTCTGTGTGTCTCTCTCTCCATGTGTGTCTCTCTGTTTGTATCTCTCTCTCTGTGTCTCTGTTTGCGTGTGTCTCTCTCTGTGTGTCTCTCTGTGTGTCTCTGTGTCTCTCTCTCTCTGTGTGTCTCTCTCTCCATGTGTGTCTCTCCCGTTGACTGGTCTCTCCTCCTAGTCGCTCTTGCCGTTTCTTCTCTGACATTGACATGCTAATCATCTCTTTGGCACATCCCCCGGTTGCTGGAGCCGTCTCACATTGACATCCTAATCTCTTACATTTACATGCAAATCCCATCTCTAGCTCCGCCCACCTCAAGCCTATATAACCTCTTGTTGCAGCATCTCTTTCTTCTGTCCCACCTGATGACGACTGCTTGTGTTGCGATCGAAACGTCGCGATCGATACATTTTCTATCTACGTGACTTTAACCGAAAAAACCAAAGAGGGTTGGAAGAGAAGCCGTTTATTTTGTCTGTACAATGCGATTTCAAATCGTGGATGCGTTCGTTATGTACACCTGTAGAATATATATTTTACGTCAAGTATTTTGTGCAATTCTAACCAATGCTTTTTTTTTAAACACCCTTCGATATCGTACAGCAATAGCAAATGTATTTACCGACGGCGCTCATATTTTATACCTGTATCAACACTGTCAACAGCAAACGTTTCTTAATATAAAATGTTTTTAGAAAAATATCGTTCGTGCTATTGTAATACTTTATAAAAATGGCACTTTCTACACATGAATGTAGTTGCAAGATTAAGGCTGTGGTATGTGTGTGTTCAACTTATTCTGGGCCGTACGTAGCCAACAACGCTCAACTGAGGTGCGGGGGAAGGAAAACAAACTAAACACAACACAAACAAGCAGTTCTGAAAAAATGGGTCTCTGTGTGAATTTATAGGTCTCTGTGTGAGTCTATGGGTTTCTGTGTGAGTCAATGTGTCTCCGTGAATCAATGGGTCTCTGTATGAGTCTATGGGACTCTGTGTGAATCTATGGGTCTCTGTGTGAGTTTGTGGGTCTCTGTGTGAGTCTATGGGTCTGGGTGAATATATGGGTCTTTGTGTGAATATATGGGTCTTTGTGTGAGTCTGTGGGTCTCTGAGTGAGTCTATGGGTCTGTGTGATGAGTCGATGGGTCTCTGTGTGAGTCTATGGGTCTCTGTGTGAGTCTATGGGTCTCTGTGTGAGTCGATGGGTCTCTGTGTGAGTCTATGGGTCTCTGTGTGAGTCTACGTGTCTCTGTGTGAGTCTATGGGTCTCTGTGTGAGTCTGTGGGTCTCTGTGTGAGTCTATGGGTCTCTGTGTGAGTCTATGTGTCTCTGTGTGAGTCTATGTGTCTCTGTGTGAGTCTATGGGTCTCTGTGTGAGTCTATGGGTCTGTGTGAGGATATAGGTCTCTGGGTGAATATATGGGTCTTTGTGTGAGTCTGTGGGTCTCTGAGTGAGTCTGTGTATGCGAACATGTTGAACTTCTTTTGCACCGAACGTAGCCAACCGTTCTCATCGCTAATGAGCATGTGTGTGTGTGGAGCGGTGGGCCAGCGGTTAGCTCACTCCCCTACAAACCCGGCAGAGAACCGACTTCAATACCCACTCACGGCCGACAAATACTGACGTCAAATATCTGAACCGGTCCTGGACCTCCCCTAGATCGACTCGGCCTGACATGGGGAAACAAAGGCGGCCGGGCGTGGTGTGTCACAGTGCCGGTCTTCATAGGCGCTCACTAACAGCACTTGCCCCAACAGTCTTTTAAAGGCTATCCAGGGATCTTTGTATTTGCCTTGTAGGTTTGTGAATGATAATATGTGCAGTTAAAGATACAGCATTGTATAACTTTTTTTCTATTCGGTAAAGCAAAGTAAGCATATTTTAAATGCGAGAACAGTGGCATTTTCGACCCCACAATGTATAACTATAAAACTCGAGAACATAAGCTAAAACTAAACGAAACTTAAATTTCGATTTAAAGCTTATATATAAGCTCCTAGCTTGGCATTGTCTCATTCTTCACCTGAAGACGGCTGCTTGCGTTGTAGCCGAAACGTCGTGAGAATTATTTTATTTTATTATGTTTTATTTTTATTATTTTATTACTCCCCTTCTACGTGACTTTACCGAAAGAACCAAGAAGATAAACTAAACTTTTATTTCTTTTACCAGGTAAGGCCCACTGAGCAATGTAGCTCTTTTTTTAAATCCTTTATATTAAGTTCGCTTGCTTGCTTGCTTGCGTGCTTGCTTGCTTGCTTACGACCGTGCAAATCTTTCGGTCGTTTTTTAACCCACTTCCCGTGATCCAATCGAGCTGATATTTTGCACACAGACTCGTTGTGCGAGACAATTAATGTTCGTGAAAATGTTTTTCCAAAACTTTACACTGTTTAGGGAAAACAAATTAAATATTTAATTACCAATTGCTTAATACTGGCAGACAATCATCTGAGCCATAGGTGGCAGCCATCTCAAGCCAGAGGACGAGAGGACTCTAGCCGCCACGCATATAAAGGATTTATAGTGAAAAACTTTGTTTTTACGGGTTATGCTTATTATAAGCGGACCTGTCTATCACAAATGATGGCCCAATGAATGAATCCCTAAACACGTGATTCTAAATGTGGAGGAGAAAAACCACGGGGAGAGAGACGCAGACTCTAAACATATAGCAGCAGACATCGTCAGGGTTGGGATGGAACCCACGACCTCCTGTATACCAGGCGAGGTAGTTAACATCTCCTAGCCCCAATTGCGCTCTCGCATCGCAGGGGCGTTTACAGAGACTCCTCTACTTACGAACGAGTAAGATTCCAGAGGACTTCGTAAGTCGATTTGTTTGTCAGTCCAAACGCGTTGTACGGCGTGTACACTAAACACGGGGAATGGCTTTAAGCGTTGCACAATCTCCTGTAGATGTAGATGCCACCGATTCTTCACGTTCTGCAGATGTAGATGCCACCACCGCAATCTATTGCGCGGATTTTGAACTTATGAGTCTCGGTCCGAACAGGCAACTGGATATACAAGCGGCTTTTTTTCGTATCTCTGAAAGTTCGTAAATCGGGTGTTCATAAGTAGAGGAGTCCCTGTATATAGAAAACGTATGCGCCAGACTTTGAACGTTCTGTGTCACAGCCGAGGTCAAGAGGACCAGGAGCAGTCACCACTCCACTTCCTGATGCCCCACTGAACAATGCAATGCGGTGTTACCCAGAAACCCTCAAGTCGACTCCAACACCTCTGGCTTGCTGTCTCGAACAAAAACACCTACCCACACACCCCAGACCCATAGACTCACACTGAGACCCATAGACTCACACAGAGACCCATAGACTCACACAGAGACCCACAGACTCACACAGAGACCCATATATTCATACAGAGACCCATAGACCCACACAGAGACTCATACGCTCAAATAAAGACGCATAGATTCACACAGAGACCCGCAGACTCACACAGAGACCCGCAGACTCACACAGAGACCCATAGACTCATACAGAGACCGATAGACTCACACAGAGACCCATAGACTCACTCACAGAGAGACCCATAGATTCATACAGAGACCCACACACAAGTCCTTGCATGCTCAACCATAAAACCCGATGCGACTCCAGCCACCGTCAGTACTTATTCACGTCACAAGCAAACGGCCGATATGTAGCAGGCGTTGATCTGAACGCCACGCGATAGTTGTCAGAGCCATCAGCAGCGGCGTACGGGAATCCATGTGTCTTATCAGCATTGCTTCGAATGCTCAGCAGCTGCTGGTGATGGTGGTGGTCAGAATTTATGTTCACGCCATACGTGGACAACTCTTGCTGCTGCTGCTGGTGATGGTGCTGGTGACTGTTATGGTGGTGGTTGTTGTGGTTGTGGTGTTGATACCAAAGAGATCGTGAGCAGGTTTCGTCGTCAACTGACATCTCGTCAGCTGTGACTTGAGGCTGTCCATCAGCCCGCTGCTGATCTTGTTGATGGTGGTGGTGGAACTGCAGCTGATGGTGATGATGACGTTGTTGATGTTGGTGGTGGTTATGACCGGTGCTCAGATTGATGACGCCTTGAATCTGCGGCGAGCAATCGAGCGATGCTCTTTCAACCCCTTCCTCCTCCACACGCAGCTGCTGTTGATGTCGCTGCTGCTGTTCACTCCCCTCTCCACCCAGGTACAATCCACTCTGCTGGTCCCGCATACCATCATAGGCAGGCAGCATCCCCTGGGCCTGCTGATATCTTAGGGGCATGCGGTCGTCACGGCCATCGCCACAACCTACTCCTCCTACTCCAACAAAATCTCCACCACCAACCACGTGGTGTCCATGCGGGCCACGTGACGGGACGCCCGTGTGAAGCTTCGAGTTTGTGGACGGCATCGAAAATGTCGACACTGCACTCCTGGGGCTTGCTTCTCGTCTCAGGCTGTCACCACAACCACGACCATCACGACCACCACAAACACCACCACCACCACCACCACCACAACCATCACGACCACCACAAACACCATCACTACCACCACGACCATCACAAACACCTCTACCACAAACACCACTACCACAAACAACATCACAAACACCACCACCACCACGACCATCACAACCATCACGACCACCACAAACACCACGACAATCACAAACACCACCACAAACACCACCACCACCACCACAACCATGACGACCACCACAAACACCATCACTACCACCACGACAATCACAAACACCACCACAAACACCACCACCACCGCCGCCGCCGCTGCTGCTGCTGCTACCGCTGCTCAGGTTGACGCTGTCAGGCCTCTCAACTTTGGGCACGAGCAGCGCCACCACCGTCGTCGTCGTCGCCGTCTGTGGCGAGCGCTCGCGCACAGCGAGCGAAGCCGATGACGACGCTGCTGATGACGCTGACGATGCTGATGACGATGATGGAGACGCCGACGACAATAACAACGAGGTGGAGGAGGAGGATGATGATGATGATGATGACCAGGATGACAGCGGACGATCCGGGCCACCAGCAGTCCCCACTGAGGCCCGAGCGAGCTTCAATTCGGAGGCCTCCTCATCGGTGTGACGATGATCCATCACGTGGAACCCTCCACCACCATCACCGCCATCACCACCATCACCACCACCGCCATCACCACCACCACCATCACCACCAGCCCGCCGCTTCCGCTTGAACCTCCTCCTCCGTCGCAGGAAGCTGCCGTTCTCGAACATGCTGTGCGAGTCCGGGTCCAGCGTCCAGAAGCTGCCCTTGCCAGGCCGGCGGTCGTCTCGTGCCACCTGGCAGAATGGAGCAGGCAGACAGGCAGGCGTGTGCGTGTGAGTGTGTGTGGGAAGTGTGTGTGTGAGTTATGGGTATGTGTGTGCGAGTGCCCATCCGAACAACAAGCACAAAGATAACGGGGAAAGTTCGCAGTGACCGGCTGTCACCCGAGGCGATCGCTGGGAAGCAGACACAGCGGAGGCTGGAGGCGTCTTTGGAAGAAAACTGGCTTCGAGACTGTACAACTCCTCGCTTGCAGAGCCGCCTGCAGATGTGCCAACTGACTCATCGTTGAGTCGAGCAGTTCGTTCTGTGCTTTGCGTGTCCATGAGTCGGCTCGCGACCCCCGTAGCTCTGTGGGATATTATTGAGGGGTCCTGCTACACACCAACCACCCAGTAAGCAGTCAACATGGTCTGTGCACAGTACTTGTGACGTTCTTCGCCAATAAATAGTGGCGACCGAGATGGCGGTTTTTAACTTGAAGACAATGCATTCTCCCCGTCTGCCGTCTGAGTTTGACCGACCTGGAGCCAATGCAAAACAATGCAAGACCCCGGTACCAATGTTGGTGGCAGAGGTGTTGATGTTCATCGCACGGCTGCCAAGTAAGACATCGCTGCTCGACTACATCTACACGTTGAATCTCAAACCGTGCTCGGACGGTGCTCAAGCTGTTGATTGTCCACCTGGAAAATCTTTTGTTCAGCGATGGGCTGTTACCCAGACCGGTTCAAAATGGCGCAGGCAACACCGCTGCTGAAGAAAGTTGGCTTGAGCCACAGTGACCCCGCAAACGATCGCCCGATCGCAAACCTGAGTGCGAAGTTCAACATACATAGACTTACATAGAGACACACGTAGACTCACATAGAGTACCCATACACTAACACAGAGACCCACAGATGCATAGAGACCCATAGACTCACCACACAGAGACCCATAGACTCGCATAGAGACACGTAGACTCACATAGAGTACCTAGACACTAACACAGAGACCCACAGACGCATAGAGACCCATAGACTCACCACACAGAGACCCATAGACTCACATAGAGACACATAGACTCACATAGAGTACCCAGACACTAACACAGAGACCCACAGATGCATAGAGACCCATAGACTCACCACACAGAGACCCATAGACCTCCGATTAGCACGGTTGGCTTCTACGTAGGGTGGTGCGAAATAAGTTCAACATACATTTACGTGCATACAAAGACAAAGATCCCCTGTATAGCCTTAACAGACTGTAGGGGCAAGTGCTGTTAGCGAGCACCTATGAAGGCCGGAACGGCACACGAGGGGGTGGGTGGCCAGCACCACGCCCGACCGCCTTTGTCTCCCTAGCGGCGATGTTTACACACCGCACCAGGTACTCATTTGAGGCTGAGTCGACCTAGGGGAGGCCCGGGACCGGTTCAGATAATTGCCACTGATGTTGGCAAGTGAGCGGGAATCGAACCCGTGTCGCCGGGTTCATAGCGCAGCGCGCTAACCGCTACACTACGTGCACAACAACAACAACAACCGCCATTCGCCACTAAGTGGCGGTGACGTCACCACGACGCTTGTGCCAGGCCAAGTGCACCTTGAGGCCACGTGAAGTGTCGAACGCCCGCTGGCAGGAGGTCACGGGGCAGACGTGCATGCACACACACACACACACAGACAGACACGTACGTACGTACACGTACCTTGACGAAGCACTCGTTGAGGCTGAGGTTGTGTCGGATCGAGTTCTGCCAGCCCTGCTTGTTGTCGCGGTAGAACGGGAAGCGCTCCGCTATGAACTGGTAGATGGCGCTCAGGGTCGCCCGCCCCTCCGCCGAGTTCTGGATGGCCATCGCGATGAGGGCTATGTAGCTGTATGGAGGCTTCACCAGATCTTTGTGCTGCTGCTGCTGATGATGATGGAGCTGATGATGCTCATGCTGCTGCTGATGGTGTTGCTGCTGGTGGTGGTGGTGATGATGGAGCTGATGAAGCTCCTGCTGATGCTGCTGATGGCGTTGTTGCTGCTGGTGGTGGTGGTGGTGGTGCAGCAGGAGGCTTTGAGGATGTTGTTGATGTTGTTGCTGGTGCTGCTGGTGCTGTTGGTAAGCTCCGTATTGCCGTGACAGAACGCCGGAGCATTGGCCGTGAACCGCACCAGAGTAAACCGCGTGTGTGGAGGAGGCTACACTCGTGCGTGGGAATCTGGCCTGCATCGTAGACATGGTCCTGGTATAACAACAAATATACACGTAACAGAACATGCACATCGCGGATGGGCCACGGTTAGTTACACAGTCCGTGTGTTCTATAACGCTGGTGGTGGCATAACAAATCATCTCTATATAAAAAAAGGGAAATTTGTGATTATGTGTGTCTGTTCAAAATGTTTAGCGTACTTCCAGACATGCAACAAACTTGAAATTTGCCGTGTGGGTACTTTACGGACTGTACACCATGCAAACATTATTAAAATACACTTTTGTATTTTTTTTGGGGGGGGGGGAGCTCAAGAATGCATATTTTTTGCACGGCAAGTGAGCTGTGACGTCACATCTGTCACGTGACCCGCGCATGTGGAAGCGTCACGCATTGTAGTGTAGTGGGTAGCGCTACGCTACGAACCCGGCGACCCGAGTTCGATTCCCGCTCACGGCCACCACCAGTGACGATTATTTGAACCGGTCCTGGGCCCTTTCCTAGGTCGACTCAGCCTCAAGCGAGTAACTGGTGTGCTGTGTGAACATCGCCACTGGGGAGACAAAGGCGGCCGGGCGTGGTGAATCCAAGTCCCGGGCGAAGCCGGGTAGTAAAGCTAGTCTATAATATAGGGGTGAAGTGCAAGTCTGTTCTATATTGCCCTGGTGGTGGTAGTTAAAATTGCGTTATAATGAATAATCTATATATATAAAATCGTTCATGTCTGTGTGTCTGTGTGTGTGTGTGGACTGCACTTTCATTGGACGGCGGTTGCCCCTGGCAACGGCTAGCCACGCCTTCGCAGCTTTCATTGGACGGCGGTTGCCCCTGGCAACGAGTAGCAACTTTTCTCCGCGGGGTGGACGCCATTTTTAATAGCGCGGCGGGGGGGGGGGGGACCGGCACCCGTACCCAGCGTTCGCCGGGTGGGAAAATCAGGCAAGGCGGGAGGCTCTGCACGGTGCTAGGCCTCGACACCCAACACGCCACTCTGAGGTAAATTCATACAAATTTCACGTCCTCTACAGAGTGGCGAGGGAGGCAGAGTGGCGAGGGAGGCAGAGTGGCGAGGGAGGGACTCAGCCTCAAAACGAGTAACTGGTGTGGCGTATTAACATCGCCACTGGGGAGACAAAGGCGGCCGGGCGTGGTGGATACAAGTCCCGGGCAAAGCCGGGTCATGACTATGTGTGTATGTGTTTATGTGTATGTCTGTGTGTCTGTATGTATGTGTGTATGTATGTGTCTGTATGTGTTTGTGTGTATGTATGTGTGTGTCTGTATGTATGTGTGTGTGTATTGTGTATGTGTTTGTGTGTATGTATGTGTGTGTTTGTATGTATGTGTATGTTTGTGTGTATGCATGTGTGTGTATGTGTTTGTGTGGATGTGCGGTTATGTATGTGTGTGTATGTGTGTGTCTGCAGCAAGCGCGTGTATGTGTACCTATGGACGCGCGCGCGTGTGTTGTGTAGGGGGAACGGTAGTGTAGTGCTTAGCGTACTGCCTGTGTGTGTCTGTGTGTGTGTGTGTCTGTGTGTGTGTGTCTGTGTGTGTGTGTCTGTGTGTGTGTGTCTGTGTGTGTGTCTGTGTGTGTGTCTGTGTGTGTGCGTGTGTCGTGTGTGGGGAGCGGTAGTGTAGTGGTTAGCGTGCTGTCTGTGTGTCTGTGTGTGTGTGTCTGTCTGTGTGTGTGTTCTGTGTGTGTGTCTGCGTGTGTGGTGTGTGGGGAGCGGTAGTGTAGTGGTTAGCGTGCTGTCTTTGTGTCTGTCTGTGTCTGTCTGTGTGTTTCTGCGTGTGTCTGTGTGTGTGTGCGTCTGTGTGTGTGAGGAGCGGTGGGTGTAGTGGTTAACGCTACGCTGCGCTACCAACCCGGCGAACCGAGTTAGATTCCCGCTCATGGCCACCACCGATCAAGATTATTTGAACCTCACATAGGTCGACTCAGCCTCAAACGAGTAACTGGTGTGGCGTATTAACATCGCCACTGGGGAGACAAAGGCGGCCGGCCGTGGTGGATACAAGTCCCGGGCGAAGCCGGGTAGTACAGCTAGTGTAAATATATAGGTAGGGTATAAAGCACAAGCCCATGACACACACACACACGTGAGATGATGCGTAACGCCGGGCTGAACACAACCAGGCTGATGGTGCATGGGTTAGCAATCTAGAAGCAGCATCCAGCAGCATCCCAATGCTTCGTGCATTGGGATGATGATGAGGATGCTACACCGCATTACAGCCACTGCTTATTCCTACTCGCTCTGCGTACGTAGTTATGCTCTTAGGTTTTTTCGGTAAAGTCACGTAGGTAAAAAATAAAATTAAAAGTTAATAAAAGTAATAGTGGAAACAAAATAAAATAATAAAGATCACGACGTTTCGGAGGCAACACAAGTCTCCGTCACAGCTAAAACGACTGCATCAAGCAATTTGATGCAGTTATTTTAGCTGTGACGGTCCCACCTGATGACGGAGACTTGTGTTGCCTCCGAAACGTCGTGATCTTTATTATTTTATTTTATTTCCATTATTACTTTTATTAACTTTTAATTTTTACCTACGTGACTTTACCGAAAAAACCTAAGAGTATGAATCCTTGCAGTCACGAAAGCTTCAAATCTAGAATTAAGTACGTAGTTATGTTCACTCAATCCAATTGGTACCCGTGCCATCAAAAAACAACATGCGTTCCCGAATACGTCTGTCACGTTATACCTCCAATTCGCGTTATGAAAACACGCGTTACAGGAGAACGGATTGTACGTGTGTATGTATAAGTTCTCTGGCACCGCTGGGCAAACTTGGTAATGGAGATGCGGGGTTAAGGACAACGAACTAAACGCAACAGTAAGCAGTTAAAACAAGTAAACCCGTAAAAACAAAGTTTTTCACTCTAAATCCTTTATATGCGTGGCGGCTAGAGTCCTCTCGTCCTCTGGCTTGAGATGGCTGCAATCTATGGGTCAGATGATTGCCTGCCAGTATTAAGCAATTGGTAATTAAATATTTAATTTGTTTTCCCTAAACAGTGTAAAATTTTGGAAACAAAATGTTCACGACAATTAATTGTCACGCACAACGAGTCTGTGTGCAAAATGTCAGCTCGATTGGATCACGGGAAGTGGGTTAAAAAACGAGCGAAAGATTTGCACGGTCCTAAGCAAGCACGCAAGCAAGCACGCGAACTTAATATAAAGGATTTAAAAACGAGTTTTCAATTGACAATTAAAAGTGCATAGCTCCAGCGGCTTCCTAACATCGCAAGGAAGAGCGTTCCAGACGGTCATAGAAGTGCATTTGAAAGTTCTGCGTGATGCGGTGACCATCTTTGCTCGATAGTTGGGCCAAAAACCGCTGCTGTGAAGATGAGCGGAGTTCGCGTGATGGTGGGTTTATCGCACACAGGTCACGTTGTATCAAAAAAGCACAGAACATTATAAAGGACTCTTCTCACCCTGGACACTCACTGTTTGAGCTGTTGCCATCAGGCAGACGATTCAGATCAGTCAAAACAAGGACAAACAGATTCAAACAGAGCTTTTATCCTACAGCGATCACCACACTCAATAATGCTAATTAATTATTAAGTAATAGTGTTTACAATTGATTGTGAAATAGAGATGTGCAATGACAAAATGTAACCTTATGTGGGTATATGGGTATACTTGGGCTGTTTTTATATATAGTATAAATTGATTATCTTTCATTTAATTTTATTTTTATTTTCTTGTTTTATTTAATTTAAATTTATGAATGATGCCCTGACTGGTGAGCATTTTAAATTTCGTTGTACTGGTGACAATGACAATAAACGATCTATCTATCTATCAACGTGGCGTTGTGGTTCGTTTGTGGCAAGCACTGGACGGACACAGTTTTGGATCAGTTTTTGCTCACATGCAACGCATTCGCCACCGGTTTCCCTTTGTAATGAATGATGACAATAACAACAACAACTATCAGCAAGTTTAGTAGTGTGCCCTAAGAGGTCTGCTTGGTCAGTCCTTTGTGCTTAGCACGTGCAGTTCGTCCGGGGATCCTCAAAGGCCAATTAAAATCATCAACAGCAAGTGAGTGCGTGGGTGGAAGAGTGAGGGGTGATTGAGTGAGTGGGTGAATGGAGGAGTGAGTGAGTGGGTGAGTGAGTGGGTGAGTGAGTGGGTGAGTGAGTGATTGAGTGGGTAAGTGAGTGGGTGAGTGGGTGGGTGAGTGAGTGGGTGAGTGAGTGGGTGAGTGGGTGGGTGAGTGGGTGATTGAGTGAGTGGTGGGTCAGTGAGTGAGTGGGTGAGTGAGTGATTGAGTGGGTAGGTGAGTGGGTGAGTGAGTGGGTGATTAAGTGGATGGGTGAGTCAGTGCGTGGACGAATGAATGAGTTGGTGAGTGAGTCGGTGATTGAATGAGTGGGTGATTGAGTGCGTGCGTGAGTGGGTGATTGAGTGAGTGGGTGACTGAGTGAGTGGGTGATTGAGTGAGTGATTGAGTGAGTGGGTGATTGAGTGCGTGGGTGATTGAGTGAGTCGGTGATTGAGTGAGTGGGTGATTGAGTGAGTGCGTGAGTGAGTGGGTGATTGAGTGAGTGGGTGATTGAGTGAGTGGGTGATTGAGTGAGTGGGTGATTGAGTGAGTGGGTGAATGAGTGAGCGGGTGAATGAGTGAGTGGGTGATTGAGTGAGTGGGTGATTGAGTGAGTGGGTGATTGAGTGAGTGGGTGATTGAGTGAGTGGGTGACTGAGTGAGTGGGTGATTGAGTGCGCGAGTGAGTGAGTGCGTGAGTGAGTGAGTGCGTGATTGAGTGAGTAAGTGCGTGAGTGAGTGATCGAGTGGGTGTTTGAGTCAATGGGTTTCAGTTTCAGTTTCATGTATTTGGTATAGCCCTGTGAGCCATTCGGCTCTTGAATCGGGTGCAACCGCAACAAACAAAAAACATGAACAAGAATACAGGGTGAGTGAGTGGGTAAGCGAGTGAGTGATTGAGTGGGTGGTTAAGTGAGTGGGTGAGTGAGTGGGTGAATGAGTGGGTGAGTGAATGA